TCGGATATATTTCTGTTTGGATATTTGAATGATGCATGACTTGTCAGGGTATTTTAATATATGGTGTTAATGGAAATTTCTGTTCGGTTAATTATTATCACGTGGTAAGCCCTCATTGGACCTAATGAGTGGCGTGTCGCTTGGTCCAACTCACCTTTGACCGGGTGATTTGGCGTCCGAGCATGGTGAAAGGAGGATATAAGGTGCAGTCATGCAACTAAATATTGTTCGGTTTGTTGAAAGTATTATTCGGTTAAATGTTTTGTGTGCCCACTTAGCAATCGCATGATTAGTTATATCCGCATGCATCATTACATATTAATTTTTGATTACTGGGACTTTTAAGTCTCATTCCCTGTGGTTAATATTTTTACAGGAGCGAGTCCGGCCGAGAAAGCACCAGAGGTGTAACTGTGGTGTATGAGACACCATCTTTTACGTTGCCTCTTATTATACAATGTATCTTGTGCCAACTTAGGATATATCTTCTTTGTGAAGCATGTAAACTCTAATCCTTTTTATTAAAAGTATTTATATGACCAAGAGGATTATGTCTGTCCTTCTTGATTTATGATTTGATTTGAATAACATGCTATGAGGATCATGTCTGTCCCTCATAGTTCTAATTGCTTTTTGAGATATTTTAAGACTTGTGGTATATTGTCTTGGATGTATCATGGTAGAAATTTTTCTACCATGATAAGGGTTCAATTAAAAAAAGTAAAAAAAAATGAGTTGTTGAATTAATAATTTGCGAAAAATCGGTTTGTAAATTTGAGGGTGTTACATTTGTCACTCAGGAGGTTCTTAAAGCCCGTAAAAAACCCAAGCTTCAAAATAGTATGATCATTTTTAATATATTTCTATATAAATATTATTTTTATTTAATTATTATGTCATCAATTGGATTACCGGTTTAGCTTATTAAATCATAAGAACTATAACCCATTAACTTTTTTTATTTTTAAAACATTGCTCTAAACTTAAACCTGCGTTGGTTTTCATATACATTTAGGGATAATAATTATATACATATTTTAAATAAAACCCAATTAACTACTTGTAAATGCACAAATTTGTTATTTAAATGTGAAAGTTTAATATGTAAATGGGATTACATGAGCTTTGAAGAATCCGCAGGGGGATAATAACCTTGAATAAGTCTTTCATCTCAAGAACTTTCTAGCTAGCATGATCAAAATATCTTTTCTCCCAATAATTTCTTAGCAATGGCCACAACTGGCTCATCATGGTCGTGATATATTTATAAAGATCTTGCCGGCAAAAAACAAAAGAAAAATAAAACAGAGAGAGAGAGAGAGAGAAATTTATAGACATTGATTTCTAACATGATAATCATCTATATTCCATACACCTCTCCAATAATCATACTCTCTTTGACTCAAATTATAATATATTTTTAGATAAAATTTTACATACTAGTAAAATTCATTAAATATACTTTACAATCTTACATTTTTAAGATAAAAATATAAACTTTAAAAAATACTCTTAATTTAATACTCCATTGATAAAAGAACATTAAAGAGAGAGAATATATAAAAAAGATAATATTAAAAAATATTATTAATGAAACATTATTTTTATCAAAGTGACTTATATTTTGGGCTACCAAATTTTTATAAAAGTATCTTATAATTTAGGTGGAAGGGAGTATTTGAAAAAGATTAAGTACTTGTCCTAACATTCAAATATTTGAATTCCAACATTTTGATATTTATGTCTTTGTTTAAAATAGGAAAGGTATAATAACTGTAAGTCCTCTTATTTTAAGTGTATTTCATTATTAATTCCTGTACCTTTTCCCTTGTCTATAGTCCTTTAAGTTTTAGTATCTATTTACAAAATTAATTTCTATATTTTTAAATATAACCAAAGCGATTAACAGTGGCTAATGTGTGTATAAATTTCATTATTTATTGTGTTGTTGACTTGTTAAAATTTTGATGAATTGCATAAACAATGAGAAGAGGACTAAAAAAAATAGGACATTAAATCAAAATAATTAAAACGCATGATAGGAGAAACTTCAGAAAAAGAAATCATAGTGGTTAGGACAGAAAGGCAATTATATTAGTAAACATTTTATTCATTCAATATTCAACTCATTATAATTTTATTAACTCGTTAATAGAATTAACAAAATTAGACATGCTGCAACAAATTCATTAAGGACTGTCATAGTAGACAAATAAAAATTATGGTACTAGAATCAATGGAAAAAAGTGTATGGACTAATACTAAACACATTAAATAAAAGTATACAGATCAATGGTGGTAATTTGAAATGTTTTATTATGTATAATTTCAAAGGTCTTGATAGTGATTGTTGAACAGAGTATAAATGCATAGGCATACACGCAGAGACACGCGCACACAAAAACTGAGCCAGCAAAGTTTAACCCAATTACATTAGCAAAGAAGAGTAACTCAAATCCTATAAAAACCTTGTCGGTGAAAATTTATTAAAAAAATTATATAAATTTAAGATGTTTAAAACTGATTCAAATCAATGACATCAAACTAAACCAATATGAACCAATCAAAATCGATTATAAATAAGCTTTTGTTTGGTTTTTATTTTGACAAAACCGATTGGTTCGGTTCGGTTCGGTTCGGTTCAAGTTTTTGTTTCTTAAAATTTGAACAAAACCAAAGCAAGCTTTATTATATTTATTTTATATATTTTTATAAATTTATCTAAATTTTTTCTCTTTCCTAAGTTTAGTTATTTATAAATTGACGGTTAAAAATGTGTTATGATTAGTTAATATTGTCTATAATTTTTATGATATTTTTTTAAGGGCACTTGTCTATAATTAATTAAATATTGTGTGAAAAATACTATTATATATATTTAACAATAAAAAGTTATTGTTATTAGTATTTTTCCTACAAATTAGATTAATTAACTTTTTTTTTATATTTTTCTACAAAAATTAATGCTCAAATGTCACCATAAATTTATAATAAATATACTTTGATCAAGTGCAAGCAAACTAAAAATATATAATTTAAAAAAAATTAAATAAATGTATTGAAACTTAATTCAAGTCTTAATCAATTCGAATCAAATTAAATCAAACCGATTTCTTGAAAAATTAATCAAACTCTAATTATGAATGAATCGATTAGTTTGGTTGGTTTGATTGTTGTTGAAAATTAAATCAAACTGAACTTATGAATATTCTTAAATTACAGGATATACTAAGTCGCCAGTCATGTCTTACCCCAATGATTCACTGTTACTCAAGTGACGTTACTTATGTGTGGCGAAAAAAGCAACCGACAACAAGACAAGCAGATTTGACGATCGGATGATGTTTTCCATCACAAAACCTTTTTTCACGTGCATGACAACAATTGTACTTGTAAAAAACGTATCTCATTGAAGTACTGAGTAAGCTAGATTATGAATCTACAAGAAAGTTTAAAATAATTTTACTCTAATTACAAATAAAAAAACTTAATTTTCTCGCAATTATAGTTCGACGAAGCCATTGGTTGTTTTCTTAATGAATTCCAAGTCCGAAGGTTAAGTAAATCATGACGTTCCACATGTTCTCATATATATATATATATATATATATTTTAATGTCTTTTAAGGAATTGTTTTAACTGCCGTAACATCATGTGCTTGTCAGTAAATCTAATTAAGGAGCACTCCCTCCGTCTTGTATATGAAACACCTTTCAAAAGTATAATTTTGTTTACTTTATAAATTGTCAGTTGATCAGATTATTTTGTTTTTTTGAGCAAACAGATTATTTTGTTTTAAATTAAAATTTTAAAACTATTCTTAAAAAGTAAGAGAAATAGATAGAAAAATAATATTATATAATTTATTTACTTTTCATTTTTTACTTCAAAATTATATTTAAAATTTTACTTATTTTTATGCTTTATACTTTTATTATATTAGTATTGATAAGATTGGTAAAAATTACTCATAAATAAGACTTGAGTGAGTATAATATATTTTTTTTAAAGCATTTTACTTGACAATAATTTAAAAAAAATCAATGACAACTAAAGATCTTATAAAAAAAGTTAATATCACATCAGGATCTCATCATTTTAAATTTAGTATTCATTTTCATATATCTCAACAATGAAATTTTATTAAAAATTTCACTTAATATTAATTTTTTATTAGGTCATTAATTGTCATTTTCTAAACATCAAACTGCCCAGATATTTAATTTTGCATGAAAAGGAGGAAAAGTAAAGTAGTATTTATAATTGACCTAATAGAAAAGAAAGTCATAAAAAAAGGTTTATGCAGTATGAAGAATCTGCGCAAGAGATTATGTTTTGAAATACAGCATCATATTATTAAAATTAAATTAAAATCTTACTGCAAGCAAACTAGCTTGCCCATGCCCTTGCAAGACATCCGATAAACTTAGAAAAATGCAAGACAGATTAATAAGACTCTTATATTCGAATGAGTGGATGACAAGGGAAATGATGTTGAATTTTCAGCCTAGTCTTAATTTCAGATTGCCCAAAAAAAAGAAAGGCTCGATCACGTGCATAGGTAGAGCTAGTGAAAGGTTATGCTAAGTCCTGTTTCACGTGTGAAGTTAGTTAATAAATTTTAATAATGAAAACGGGAGACAGCAAAAATATATAGATTTGCAACGGTCTGTGCACAAAGAAACTACCAAAATAGTTCTCACGCAATACTTGTGCAAAACATCATACATTTGTCTATGATTCTGGTTTCTGATTGTCACCGTTGTATAGAGAGAAAACATAACATTGCACAAGACTGCAAACCGTACAAACGTTCAAATGCTATATGTAGTGTATGTATGTGCTGCTATATACAAATACATCCCTTTCAGCTATAAAGCACTCTGGGCCGAGCTAGCGAAGCATGCAATTAGAGCGTCCTCATTCTCTCACAGCAGACCAATACACACAAACTCAATTGTTTTCTTGTCCACATGCATCAGACTAAGTTATTGACAGCAATTGGCAAATGCTCTTGAAATACCGTCATTAATTTTCAATACAAGGGCAGAATAATGCCGTCGAGTTTGAATACAGAAAATCGTGGCATGGAAATGAGATGGAGATATGGGAACACGGTACTTACTAACTTACCTTTCTTGTTCACTGGTCATCCATAGCACTGAGATCCGAGAGACAGAGTTCTCTGTGACACAAGTTCAGAATTTTTCTTAAATCCTGAGTTGTCCCCTGCAGCAGCATCTTGGGGGGCTCCGAATGGGATCATGAACATGGAGTGTATTCTCAATCGCGTGTATATAATGTGTAAAGATTGAAATGTTCGCCAACGTGCAAAAACTACACTTCAAGGTGATGCCATGCCTTTGCTTTGATGATTGCCTTCTGGATTTAACCAAGATGTACCCGACTTAGCGGATCCACTCTCCAGATGTTCAAGAAAATCTATCACCAGTGGATCAGGCCAGGGTGATCCAAATGGAGCATCATCACCTGCAACCCAACCCAAATGACCGCCTTTGGGCGTCACTATCAACAAGCAATTTGGGTTTTCCTGACATTAAAAGTTAGACTAATATGAGCCAGAGCATGATTGATTGAATAATTAAAGAATTATATGCAATTAGTATTTGTTTTGATAACAACCAGGATTAATTTACTTATTGACACTTTTGCTCGAGTGAAGATCACAAGGCCCCAACATTAACGATGCTTGAAACAGATGAAAATAAGGGTTGAAGAAGAATAGTGCCAATATATGCCCAACAAAACAGTAACGAGGAAGGGATGATGAATAGAATGGTCACAATCCACTCGAATCCTTGTAATCTTCATGCATTCCAAAGACGGATGAGATGAAAATACAAGAGTATTTATAGCCCAAATACTACTGCATCATACCAACTTCCATATTCTCTACCGAGTACAAATGAATGAAAATCAAACTAGTTCATTTATATTCAATTTGATTCCGATTCCTACTTCACGTATGTCTTACCACACGCACTTCTAGTTAAGAATGATATAATTGAATTTTGTGAATTGCGCATACCTTGATATCTTCACGAGGTATTCCCCCAGAAGGAGCAATTGGGTCGTTGGCAGCCTAAAAATTTTAAAAAAAAATTACTTCTTGGAATAATTCAAATATATTAGCTGACAGTATGAGAACATAGATTTAAAAGTTGGTCTATAATCCAGTTGGCCTATATCTTGCACATTAGATTTAAACCCTACAGAGGAAAACGAGTTTTTCCCTCTGCTTATAAAGACAAGGCAGAAAAATTGCGTATTCCTACTATTACTGCAATTACTTCTCAATTCAAAATGTAAATTAACATAGTATTAAATTATTCAAGATAACATGTAGGAATTTTTGTCCCTACATTCAAATTTTTTACTGCTTAATAACGCTAAGATCAGAAACATAAAAAACTAATTTTTTTTTTTCTAGTCAGTGTTTTAACCTGGACGCAGAGCAAAGGAATTTGAACATGTTTTATTGAGTCTGCGCTGCTGGAATTGGAGTAGTATTCATCCACTGACTTGAAACCAAAAGAAACTGCAAGACCACAAAGATGATCCCGGGCATAAAATTTACAATTTTGATCCAACTAAGTAGCTTCCAATTAAGGTTAATGAACAAGGCTGCATACCACGGGTCAGTCCATCATCATATTCCCTGATAGACTTGGCATTGATCGCCAATTCAATGTTATATTCACCGCCAATATCTTCAAAGAGTAAAGCATGCCTGCAAAAGTTGTTGGTAATGTTGTCATGCCTAGTGTGGATGGATCTATTCACTAGAAGATAAAACAACCATTTCTAACATATCAAAAGCCTATTACTTTTTGAAATTTTTGCGAAGACCTTTTGCGAGAACCCGGTCATAAACATTGTTGAAGCCCTTGTGAAAGTTATCATCCGTCAAAACCAAATTGAAGGGATTACACAGCGACACAGCGCCAGAAAGAGGACAAGCATGAGTTTCCTGAAAGAGGGAAATGACAACTATAATGATCATAATCCAAAGTGATTATGAAAATATAATGGGCCAAAAATTAACTCAATACAATGTAAAAACAAAAGCAGATAATATTTTGGCTCCAGATTATACCAGGGAAAAAATGCAGTCCAAGAAACGCTGACCAGATAAATAAAATAAGAGGGTACAAAATTGCATTCTAGTTTATTATGTTCAGCTAAATGCAAAATTTTGGTGATGTTCGCCAAAATTTTATGGCAAGACGCCCTTGGGGGAAAATAAGTCCTCAGATTTTAGTCTAAACCACGATTAAATAGTAAGATATTTATTAGGCCATTCAAATCCTTCCAAGTAGCATGAACAATATTTAACAGGTACATTCTCCAAGTAATTGGAACTGTTTTACAAGATTTTAGAAGTACAATTCTCCAAGTAGTTTGAACAGTTTGTTTAATATTTAACATTCGCAAATCGTTCGCACCAAGAAACAGGATTTGCGAGATGATTTTTCCAGCGTAAGGCAGTAACTAGAAGGCTAAAACAAGGTTAGACGAAGGCTGTGCTCTTCTGCTATTGTGAGTAAATGCAGCAATAAATAAATATCTTACCTGACCAAGGTAACGAACAAGAATGTTTGCCCCAAGTGACCAACCGACAGCGTATATATTAGCATCAGGGTATAGTTTGTTGACATGGGAGATTACCTCACGCAGATCTCCTAGAAACGAAGCTGAATAGAGCTGCATGTCAGTGTACAAATTAATCATTAATTCATGGCACATAAAACGTCAACAGTAAATTGCAGATCTTTGCTCTAGGAAATGAAAAGTATAAAGTTTAAGAAAAAGGGGAAAAAAAAATTTCTCGCTATTAGCATGGACAAGATAAACATGGAAAGGGACTCGCACTGAAATGGCAGTGATGTTTTATTGTTTTAAATGGAACATAAACAAGAGATGAAGAGAAGCAAGAAAATTTTATGGACCTGTGGAGTGATAACAGGGCTATTTCCGCAGCCACGATTATTGAAGACGACAACGCGCCATCCTTTACTTCGGGCTCTAATCAACAGATGTCTTGCATAAGAAGCTTCACTGCCCCCGGTTAAACCTGGCTGCAAAATCACTCATTTAAATTGCTAAAAAAGATCCAAGCATAGAATTTCTTCAGTCAATGAAGGAAAATGAACGAACCAGCAAGATAAGCACAGGAGAATCGGGAGGCAACAGTCGATCGTCTCCGGAAACCCAATCGACAGCCACAACGCCGCCGTCTTTGGTGCGAATACACTGACGGCGGTACCTGACTTTAGGAGCAGACCTGAAAAAAGAGGCAAAAATGGTCTCGACGTGGCGATTCGAAGCAATGTAGGGGAAAGGAGAGAAAGGACGGGACAGGTAAGAGAGAGAATGAAGGAAGCGGTCCCGGGCACCTCCAATGACTTCAAAGGAGGAATGAGGCTGTGGGGTTGACATGGGGACGACGGCGAAGAAGAGAAGCAGAAGGAGAAGGATGCAATAGGCGTATGCGAAGGAATGATGACGTGACGAGGGGGCGAATGGGAGAGTGGTTCGCGCTCCCAAGAAGCTTTGTGAATGCCGTTTTTGGCGCTAATGGCGCCAAGTGGCCATGTTTTTTTTGCGGCCGAAAAAACTGGACTATCTCTTCTATCATACTTATACCACGGATCTGACTCCTTTGCTAGCCCAGGCCATTGCAGGAGTACCAGACACTAAGCACAGGCACTAATAAGTGATAATCCTTTGGGAATTGCAATTAAAAAAAAATGCATGCCATGCGATGACATTAAAGTTTTTAAAGATAAATTAATAATAATTAAATTTCTGATTTTTTTAAAAATAAGTCATAAACATTAATTCAAAATATCCTAAACAAAAATTCCATGTTAAAGCTATGAGTATTGTCTTTTTTATTATTAAATTCTTTGAATTTTCAATTATTTAAATTGATATTTATAATTATTTGAAAAATTTTAATTAGAAACTTAATTGCAATTAATTTTTTAAAAAAACTAAGGGCGATTAGGTTTGCTCAATTTTTTTTAAAACAATAAGTTGCAAATATTAATTTAAAAAGTTGTTAATTCAAGAATTTTAATTATAAATAAAAAAATTTAAATTCTAAATATAATTATCAATTTGTAATACTATTTGAATTAATATTTACAATTTATTTTAAAAAAATTTTGTCAAAAATATTATTGTCATTAATTCTTTCTTTTTAAAATTTTATTGCCATTGTCCCAACTTCTATTAAGAAACTTTCTTACCATATTTATTAAGCTGACAGACATCATTTTTATCCAACAAATTACAAATCACTCGTTAGAGAGGCTCCTCCAACAGGCTAGCATCATTTCTTTTTTCTTTTTTTTTAATGAGCATCCATCATTTTCAAACTAATACAACCGGAAATATCAGATAACACAGAAACAGAAGATAGCAAACTCTGAACTATTTATTAACGGAGCTTCTTCAATTTTCAAACATTTATGTCACCATTCTTCAAGGCAATGGGAAACAACAACTATCATATGGTGTTCTTCATTTAAATTTTAAACCTACAACACTTGGTGAAAAGAAATTCAACAACGCCCCTTAATCTCTCTCCTCATTTTCGATTTGTTTCTTCTTGTAATCTCCGAAGAACAGGCTCAACCTAGTGGCTTAACCAGCAACATTGGAAGTTTAAAGGAAATGGTTTCAATAAGAAATTGGCAAGTGGTGAACGTTCACACTTGTTGAGACTGCAACAAATGAACAGTTGTCAAGGTATTCTCCAATTTCCAAGACTCCAACGAAAGGCGGAAACAAGAGAGACTAGAGCCACGATTTCATCTAACTTTTTAAATTTTTTTTAGTAAAACGTTGGAGTTATATATTTTCGATCCTTTAAATTAATACATTATAAAAATTTTAAAATATTAAATGAATTCTCATTTTAATTTTGTAATAATCTTTTATACATGTATAATTTAACTATTACATTAGTTTGAAAATATTATTATCATTGGATCTATTTATTTTTAACAAAATAACATTATAATTACTTTTAAAATATTGATATCATTTAATTTTGCTTTCATTTTATATTTGATAAAAAAATTATAAAAATTATTACTAGCAAACTTTATAAAACTCTACAACAAAAATCTCAAGATATATTAAATGAAGAACATGTCAATTAAAACAATTAAATAATAAATTTAATAAGTAAATAATATTTTTTTTTATATTAAGTAGAACTTTGGATCTCAAAAATGCATTTAAATGATTCAATATTTATAAAAAAAATGAAATATTAGTTAATTTAACAATAGTTTATATTAAAAAAATTTTAAAATTTTCATCATAAACATAATAATTAATGAGAAAAAATTTAAAAAATAAAAATATATATTCATTTTAGTTATATATGTGTGTGTGTAAAATTGAACATAAATATCTAGATTGAAATATTTATGTTATGTTAGTAATATATATATATATATATATATATATTTAATTCTCTTTCTATTATTATATATATTTTCTCATTTCGACCCTCCAAATAAAGTTTTCTGACTCTGTCCCGTCTCCAACCACTTCAATTCCTCCCAGCTGACAGGAATGGGGTCTCATCCCATATCATTTGTATCATAACACTGCTACTCATACTTTTGTGGATTATGTAACTGTCTTATTTGAATGAATACATTCACCCCATTATTAATTTTCAATACAATGGTAGAACCGCGAATAATGCTTAACAAGTTCGAACACAGAAATCATGGGATACAAACGAGACGGAGGTATGAGAACTGGGCAAGATCAAGCACTAAGTATACCTTTTCTGACTACTTGTCGTCTGCTGCATTAACATACAAGAGACGCCATTCTCCCAACACAATTGAAGAATGTTTTTCTTAAATCCTGAGTCCTGACCACGGCATGCGGCGGACAAACAAATGAGAATGTAGTAGTCCCACGCAGCAGCATTCAGGGGATCTTGAATGGTATGATTTTGGAGTATATTCTCAAATATGTGTATATAATGTATAAAAGAATGTTCGCCAGAGTGCAAAAATTACACTTCAAGGCGAAACAATGCCTCTTTGCTTTGATTATTGCCTTCTGGATTCATACAAGATGTACCAGACTTGACGTGTCCTCTCTCCAGATGTTGAAGAAAATCTATTACCAGAGGATCAGTCCAGGGCGATCCAAATGGAGCATCATCACCAGCCACCCACCCCAAATGTCCACCTTTGGGTGTCACTATTAGCAAGCAGTTTGGGTTTTCCTGACATTAAAAGGTAAAGATTTAGACTTGACATCAAATGAGCCAAAGCATGATAATGAATAATTAAAGAATTATAAGCAAGAGATGGACAGAGTGAGAAACAGTATATTACAATGGGAATTACTTAAAAAGCACGTATAGAGTACCAAGAGAATATTGTTGCTTAAGGCTACTATTTCACAATCAACAACCCAGGTGATGCAATACCTCTTTGTTTTGATGACAACCAGGATTAATTTACTTATCGACACTTATGGTCAAGTGAAAACACAAAGCCCAACCTTCACTTAGAACGATGCTCAGCAATTCTTCGTAGTCTTCTTTCATTCCAAGGACAGAATGGTCAACAAAACAGTAAGGAGGATGGGAGAATAAACAGAATGGTCACAATTTGAACTCGATTCTTCGTAATCATCTTTCATTCCAAAGACGGATAAAAATGAGATGAAAATGCAAAAGCATTGACAGTCCAGAAACTATTGTCATACCAACTTCCAAATTCTCTACCAAGTACCAACGAATGAAAATCAAACATTTTAACTTCTAGTTATTCTGACTGTGACTCCCATTTCATGTCTCTCTTACCACATGAGCTTCGAGTCAAGAGTGATAGCATTAAATTTTGTGAATCTTGCATACCTTGATACCTTCACGAGGGATTCCCCTAGAAGGAGCAATTGGATCGTTGGCAGCCTGAAAAAAATTTACTTAAACTGGGTCAAATATATTGGCTCACAGCATGAAAACAGAGATCTAAAAAATTGGTCCGGACTCAATATTGAAGATTTTATAGTTTTGATTTATAGCTTCACCTGGATGCAGAGCAAAGGAGTTTGAACATATTTTATTGAATCTGAGCTGCTGGAATTGGAGTAGTAGTCATCCACTGACTTGAAACCGAAAGAAACTGCAAAGCCACAGGGATGATTACAACCATGATCCAACTAAGTAGCTTCTAATAATGGTAAAGAACAAGGCTGCATACCACGGGTTAGTCCATCATCAAAGTCCCTAACAGTCTTGGCATTGGCCGCCAATTCAATGTTATATTCACCACCTATGTCTTCAAAGAGTGTAGCATGCCTGCAAAAAGTTGTTATAATATTGTCATGTCTAGTGGATGGATCTATTCATTTGAAGCTAAAACAACAATCTCTAACGTATCAAAAGCCTATTACTTCTTGAAAATTTCGCGTAGAGCTCTTGCAAGAGCCTTGTCATAAACATTGTTGAAGCCCTTATGGAAGTCCTCATCTGCCAAAACCAAATTGAAAGGATTACACAATGACACAGCGCCAGAAAGAGGACAAGCGTGGGCTTCCTGAAAGTGGCAAATGACAAATATAATTATCATCATCTAAACCAGAATTTAATGAATTATGGAAAATATGATGCACCGAAAATTAGCTGAATACAATGTAGAGAGAAAAGCAAATAATATTTTGGTTTCAGATAATAGCAGACAAAAAAATGCAGTCCTGGAAACGCTCAACAGATGAATAAAATAAGGGGACTACCAAATTGCATTCCAGTTTATTACGTTCAGCTAAATGCAATATTTTAAAAACATTCTTCAATTTTTTTGGGGGGGGAGTTGAGTCCTCAGATTTTAGTCTATACAAATATTCAATATTAAGATATTTATTAGCGCAATTAAATCCTTCATCTAGGTAGCAAGAACATGCTTTTAGAAATGCATTCCCCAAGTAGTTTGAACTGTTTGTTTAGTATTAAAATAAGCTAATCGTTCCTACCCAACAACAAACACAAAAAGCTAATTGTTTTAAGGAACATTCAATATTTCTGCCATAAAACAGGATTTGCGAGATGACTGATGAGTTTTCCAGCGTACAGCAGTAATTAGCACAGCTATACCAAGGTTAGACGAAGGTCGTGCTCTTCTGCTATTGGGGTTAAATACAGCACTAAACAAATATCTCACCTGACCCAGATAACGAACAAGAACGTTTGCCCCAAGTGACCAACCGACAGCATATATATTTGCTGCGGGGTATAGCGTTGTGACATGGGAGACTACCTCGCGCAGATCTCCTAGAAACGAAGCTGAATAGAACTGCATATCAGTGTACAAAATAATCACATATTAATGACACAAACATATAGTAGCAGTAGAGAATGAAAAAGATAAGGTTTTAAAGAAGGAAAAGTTTTTCCCCCCTTGTAAGTTCATGGCTGTTGATCAAAACACAAAGGGACTCTCAGTTTGACATAGCAGTAGCTTATAGAAACGAAGCACCAATCAGAGAAGAAGAGTCAAACATAATTAAAATTTTACGGAAAGAAACAAAAAGCAAATTTTATGAACCTGTGGCGTGGTAACAGGGCTATCCCCGCAGCCACGACTGTTGAAGACGACAACGCGCCACCCTTTGCTTCGGGCTCTAATCAACATATGTCTCACGTAGGAATCTTCACTGCCCCCGGTTAAACCTGGCTGCAAAATCTCGCATTTGAATCACTAAAGGCCAAGCATAGAATTTCTTCAGCCACCAGGGCAAAAAAGAAGTGAAAAATGAACGGACCAGCAAAATAAGGACGGGAGAATCGGGAGGCAAGATTCGATCGTCGCCGGAAACCCAATCGAGAGCGATGACACCGTCGTCTTGAGCGCGAATACACTGACGACGGTATTTGACTTGAGGAACAGACCTGAAAAAGGAGGCAAAAATGGTCTCGATGTGGCAATTCGAACCAATGAAAGGGAAAGGAGTGTAAGGACGGGACAGGTAAGAGAGAGAAGGGAGGAAGAGGTCGCGGGCACCTCCGATGATTTCAAAGGAGGAATGAGGCTGTGGAAGTGACATGGGGAAGACGGAGGAGGAGGAGAGACGGAAGGAGGAGGACGGAATCAGCGAATGAGTGATGAGACGAAGAGGGAATGGTGGATGCTGGAGCGGGGCACTCCCCAAGAAAGGCCTTGCCAATGCCATCCTTTACGCTTCTGCCAGCGTCTCTTTTACTTTATCTTCCTCGCTCGCTCCATTTCCCAAATTTTGCAGACGTCCTCTTCTCTGTATCTGTAGTCTTAATTTAACGGCAAAGTAATGCAATAATTTCCACGAGAGTGACATCTTCTTATCACTTGGTTCCAGTGGCTGGGATCCCAATCCAGCCCAGTTATGTAACAACTTAGTTTGCCTCTTGGGTGCTATTCTCCGCTGTGCAATGATTTGGAAAAGCAGTTTGGGCAACGTGAACTGGATTAAGGCAAGATTTGAATTTAATAATTATAATTAATACACACATATAGAATGTATATAATATTTAAACTGTTAAAATTTAAATTAATAATTTTAAATTTATATTACACTTAAAATTAATAAATAAATGACTTTATTTAAATAATTAATTTAAATTTTAATAATTTAAATGCTACAAGTACTAAATACTTGTACTAAAAAAATACAATTTGGAAGTATTAAATATTTTTAATTAAATAAGTAAGGTTACAGAGATGGATCTAAAAAGCGGGGATTAAAAATAAAATCTGATTGATATACAGAAAATTAGGGACAATAGTAGTGTTCTCCCTATTTTAGTTCAGATCCTCTAATCTTATTTATAAAATATTTTTTAAAAATAATTTTTGATTCAAAATATAGGATGATTTGTAATAATTAAATTACTTTTTTTTAATTTAATTTTTGTTATTAGTGTAAAAGTATTTAATATAATTATATTATTATTTAAAATTAAAAGTAAAAATAAAAGTACCTTTTACTTTTTTTATAATATAAAAAAATTAATTTTTTTAAAATACGTTAAAATGGTTAAAGTTGTTTTATAACAAAGAGCGGAGGAGTTCTTCTTTTCATAACTGGCTTAATTCAATTCGTAATGGGGGAAAATTTGTTTGACCTACTTTTTTCTGAAATTTATATATTTTTAAATAGAATTGAAGAGAATATTTATTTCTGCCTTGTGAGGACTGAAAAAAATATTTCATAATGGTCCGATGGGATTGCCACGGCTGATAGCAGGGGGCAGGTGCAGGATTGAGAAATAATTGGAAAGGTTATTGATGCCTCGCGTTCCACATGGCTTTTTTATCCGAGGCTTTGATATATCTTATCATGTATCATCCATGGATCCTTCTACCCAATCAAAGTTTTATTATCCTTAAATGCCTTTGATTGGGCTTATTACTTTTCGCTGGTTTAATGGATGCTTGAATCAACAAATATTTATGATACATTAAATAAAGATAAATTAAAAATTTCAAAATTTCTTTATCATTCAAAAGAATATCAATAATTGAATTACTTCTCATTAATTTTGACTGAATTATTAAAAGTGATTTGTAATGAAATTAAATGAAATACTTTAGAGTTAAGGTGTAATCCCTAAACTTTTTCACAAGATATAATTGGAGTCTTAAATTTTAAAAGGTAAAATATCTTCCCTCTACTTTTAAAAACATTACGATGTTATTCAATTTTAACAAATTCAAACGTCAGTTAATTCTACCAAGCTAAAATGTCATGTCCACATGTCACCCACCTCATTTTTTTTTTCGTTTCATAGGTCCACCAGGCAACCATATGGAATATTTTAAAAATTTAAAATAAAAAAAGGAAGAAATCAAGAAACAAATCCATCGATTCTTCTTCTTCCTCATCACAACCCTCCCTTAAGGCATTTATCAATGTAACATTTCAAATTTTAATCATTAAATTATTAATAAATTAATCAAATTTGATTATAGTAATTAAGTGATTTGATGCGGCGTGACGCAAGAGAAGTCTAATAAATGTTTTACTTTGTGTTTTCAGCCCTAATTATAGGTTTGAAATGAAGTCTAGCCATCCGGGCATTGAAAGAAGGAGAAAACACAACGAAAGTGTCTATGTGCCACATGTCATGGCATACAGCACGTCCACCATGGTGCACAGATGACAGTGAGAAGAAAGGACCTCTTTGTGCCATATGCCATAGCGCACAGCCAAAATTTCTTATAAATTGATCGCCAACTGAGATAAAAAATAGAAGAGAAAGAAGAGGGAAATAGAAGAGCTCGCCTTTGCTTTGCTGGGGTTTGTCATATTGGTGGTTTAAGAGTATTTTGGTATTAGAAAACACCTAAGATAAGTGCCATACACGATAATCCTTCATTCTATTCCACTTTCTTGAAGTTTTTCATTAAGGTTTAAGTTGGGATAATTATTTTTGATTCATATTAGTTATAGGTTCAAACCCATTGACTCAAATGGAGTTAATGGAGGTTGTTTAGAGTATTTAAATCAAAAAACGATGAGTTTTAACATCTTAAGTTGGTGAGCATTATTAATACCAAAAAATGAGCATTTAATTGGGATTAATGAGGGTTGTTGGGACATTAATGACATTAAAAATGATTAATGATGTTATTGGGAATTAAAGAGAGTTATTAAACTCAATGGGTAAGTCTAAAAGCAAGAAATAAGAGTGCTAGGTGTTGTAGAAATGAAAGTGAGAATGTTGAAATTGTACTATTGGCAATGTTGATAAGTTTAGAATTGATTAATTGTACATTGAGCATTTAGGCATGATATTTTAGCTTGGGAAATCAAACTTGAAAGCTAATTATTGAGGGATAAACCTTTAACTTCTTAAAAGATTGAGGTAACCGAGGAAACCTTACTTTAAATAATTGTTTATTAATTGTACGTAATGTGAAAATGGGTTCTTGTATGTGAATGATTGATTTTGTTGATGTGATAACATACTGTGCAACATATGTTAGTGATTTGCTTTGGTTTGAACCAAAATGCAACATATATGGCCCATTACTTTGTTTTTACAACTTGAGATTTTTTTCAACTCTTCTCACTCCTTTGAGATATCTTATGCTTTTGTAATGTGATTTTACTTTGATTAAAGGTTTAATGAATAAATTTGACTCATTTTTAAATTATAAAAACTTAGGATTCCATTAATTAAAATGTACAAACTTGATAATTTTTTTTATGGGCTAGTCCCTTGATTATCTCAGATTGTGGTTTTGATTGTGTTTAGTAAGGAAAGATTCTACAATTTGGTACCAGTTTCTCTTATTTTGAAAATTGGTATGTGGTTTGTGTCAATGGTTATTAAGATATGTTTGTGCATTGTATATAAAATTGGCAATATGTTGTTTTCCCTCATTTAGATAGTGCTAGCTCCCTTTTTTCTTTTTGGGATTGCTTCTGTCACACTCGAAAATGTGACACGGATAGTGCGCGAGAGTGGAGGTTCTGGCCTTGACAGCAGAAATCGAAGAAATAAAAGTCGCTACCAAAATTTTGAGGAAAATTTTGGGAAACCAATTAAAGGAGATAATGATGGTTTGTGAAATTAAAAAATAGGTTCGGGAGTCGATTGAGTATGGAAAAGGTTTTAGGCACCCCACAACATCTATTCGTGAAAACGGTTATCTAAAATTTGTTGTGCTAAATTAATATGGCTTTAAAGTTATTTTAATTATCCTTTTCTTATTCACATGTTTGATTAAAAAAATAATAATAATTAAGTAATAAATATTTATTTATTTACAAGGGATGATTTGACTTAGAATCAAACTTTGAGGCCTACATACCTTGTGACGGAGATCAAAATTCATGTAGTTCGGGATTATAAATTGTTAGTAAAAACATTTTTTGAAGAAAAATTAATTAAAAATAATTCACCATTTTGTAAATAAAATAATTTTTAAAATTTTGATGTGTATGTTTTAAATTATAAAAAATAATTTAATTTTAATTATTTTTTTAATTTTTGAAATAGAAAAAAGGTAAAGAGTTTAAATTATTATTTTTTATATTTTATTATTAAAAATTTAACCGCTATACGTACAGAGCCTTATTGGCTCATGCAATAATGTAATTGTTTTAAATATTTACGGAGATTTTAAAATCTCACATAATAAAAGAGTTTAACAACTTAATTTATTTTTATTTTTAAGTATTAGTAATAATTTGTTTAAGCATGTATATATATGTTTTTAAAAAATCTCATTGTCATACTAGCAAAGCTTTACTGACTTATATGGTAATAAGATTATCTTAAATATTTATGAAAATTTTAAAATCTCACACAATAAAAGAATTTAACAACTTAATTTATTTTATTTAAATTTTTAAGTATTAATAATATATTTTAAGTGTGTATATATATATTTATATTTTTTAAAGACTCTTAATTATCATACCTGCAAAGTCTTTTTGACTAATACAACAATACAATTATCATCAATATTTGTGGAGATTCAAAATTCTCACACAATAAAGGATTAATTAATATGTATTTTAAATATATTTTAATTTATTTTTTATTATGTATGTAAATAATTTGTAAAAACTAATCATTATACCTGCAGAGTCTTATTAACTCATACGATAATGCGATTGTCCTAGAAGTCTATAGAGATTAAAAAATCTCACATGACCAAAAGATTTAATGGTTATTATCTAAATATATTAATTTAATTAATTAATTAATTTTTTTAAAAAATTATTATTTTATTTACAAAATTTATTTATTTACTAACCATATAAATTGAGAATCATAATAGCTGTGAGGATTTGTTATCCCACATGATAATGCGCTTAATTTAATTCTCTATAAAAATTCTTAAAATCTCATATGAAACTTAAATATTTTATTAATTTAAATTATAAAAAGAGAGTTAATTTTAATGATGGGATTTTGAAATTCATATTAATATATAAGTTTATTCTCATACTTGCGAAAGCTTATTGATTTATATGGTACGAGATCATTTTAAATACCTAAAAAGACCCTTAAAATCTCACATGTCAGACAAATAATTAGCAAATATAACCCCTAATTCATTATCATCAATTGTAAGACAAACCCAGTTCATTTTTCAACCTTTGTCATACTAACATTGGAATAAAACACACAGTAATAGAAAATGTAAGCAAACTTGTCCAATTATGATGTCACTCTAGACCAGCAAGGAACCTTTAGATTGATATATAGACTAGAAGTATGTGGCCACACATGTGCTATTTCATGCTAAAAAGAACTATCTAATTTAACATCTAATCTAACAATCACAACATTCTTCCTGTTTAAGACAAAATTGTGGCAA